ACGGTAATTTGGAAATATCTCGAAAAGCTATCCATAGAAAAAATAAAATCTCGATTTTTGGAATTACCGGGGAATTCTACATGGGAATTGGATAGTGGCATCCATAGAACATTTCTGCTGTACACCAGTGTTATTATACATACAGTCGATTGAAAACTGGACAGATTTCTCGCAATTTTTAGTTAGAATGTAGAAAAAGTAAAAAAAGGTTTGGGCGGGTGGGAACTCCCTTTTATAGTACTGGATACAAGTTTTCTTTTAGCAAGTCTGGCTATGCTCAATATTTGTGAATGCATTTTAGATTAGGGTAGGTTAAACGGGCAGCTCTGATAAGAGTTCACTCGGAGGCCACAAAGGCCCATTGCGATGCCCAGGGCGGGTTACCCCTTGCCTATCCCTACATGGTTTTGAACCATTTTTACTCTCTGGCGAATCGTAGTAGTCTTTCCAGTCTAGCTTTCCCCAAGGTATGCAAGCTCTCGAAGAAATGGTCCCCAAGAAACTTGAGGCCTTTTCCTTGGAGCACTGGACACTCGCGAATGATGTGCTGGCCTAATTCTATCTCCTCCACATCCCTGCAGCTTCTGCAGAAATCTTTATGCGGGGCTACAAGCCTGGCGGCCATATGGACCATGGTCCAGTATCCCGTTAGTATGCTATTGGTGACTGCGCTGGTCACTCTGTCAAATTCTGAAGACAGAAATCGCAGAGGAAGTTTCATGATCTGAATCGCTCCCCAAGCCCCATCTCAGATCCATTTTAAGCACATTCGTCTGCTTTCGCAGACCCCGGGCCCCGGGACTTAGTAAAGATTAATTATGTGTTGCTGTAGAGCCTTTAGGGATCTTCAACATTCCTTAACGAATATCGAGTTAGCCGTTGCCGACCCTAAGGCTTTGATAGCCGCCATGTCCATTACATATATTTTACGCACTATTTTATAAGCAGGGAACAGATTTTTAGGACCTAAAAACCTATAAAAAAAATGTAAACTAAAATAACGACATAGGCTAGAAAAGGTTAAATTAAATAGCGAAATAGGCAGGAAAAGCCACTAGAACCCGAAAACAATGCAAAAGAAGCCACTAAACAAGACAAAAACAAAAAAAAATCAAAAATACATTTAGTTTAGAAATATGTATGTATTTTACAAGTAAAAAGAGAAAAACTATGAACTGCAAAGTTTCATTATATGAAAAATGTCTACTTTGAATCTTTGACTATTTTTCCTTTCGAGTTTTTAACTCACACAACTTTAATCGCTATAGTTGTAGTAACATTGAACCACAAGATGCATTTTGAAATTTTTTGCTAGCATTTTCATTAGATTTTCGCTAAGAAAAGTTTTGAATGTACTAAACATGCGCTCGATAAGTGGCACCCAATTTAAAAATGGAACGTTTAAAACTTTCATATTATCAGGCATAAGGGCTTTTTTCTTGCTCTTTAGAATTAAAGGCCAGTACGCAGCTTTCAAGAAAACGGTCAAGAAAAAAATTGCCATTATTTCTTGCGTGTGTCCAGGGAATTTTGACATCTGATACTTCACAGCCTGTTGCCTCACTCTTTCCTCAAGAAATGTTGGAACGGGCAATATTTCTGTTGCAAACATCGGTTGCCTGGTGCTCTTTTTCACAAAAAAAAACTTTTGAAAACCGTAATAGAAAGCGTAGTATATTTTTTAAGAACTGCGTTCTGCCTTACGGAAATTTGACACAAGAAAATTTCTTAGCCATTTCTTGTACGTCATTTTATATGTAGTTTTTGCTTTTCTTGAGAGCTGCATACTGGCATTTAAGGTAGAAAAGGCAAAAAACGGAAATCTAAATCGTGGATATTCTTAATCGAATATACTCTATCTCTTTAGGAGAAAAAAGGCATTTTCCATAAAATCTATTCCCTTTTTATAAGAAGACCATACTAGTCCTAAATAGATTGTAAAACCAAATTTAATAACGAGTAAATCGAATGTTCACTTTCAAAAATCGGATGAAAGTTTGCTGAGTTATCAAACTGTTTATGAAAACCAAATTTTGGCAAAAATACTATTTTTGGCTATACAACTCAAAAATGCTTGTTTGACGTTTTGTTTTTCATAATTCAGCATCATCAGTTTCTCGTTCTAGTGACCAGCGATGTTCTAAGATAATTTTTATTTTATTTATTTTTCCTTCGAATTGTTTTTCAATTCTAGCTATTTCTTGGTGAAAGTGTTCGCCTTGTTCATCACTGGAGTGACCCAAATTATGTGAGAAGAAGTCCAAATGCGAATTAAGGAAATGAATTTTCATGGACATATTACACCCCATTTAAACTTAAGCATTCAAAAATTCGTTAACAACAGTGAAATAGTCGCCGCTTCTGTGGTTTTCAAGGAAATTATTGCATACAAAACTCTTCCATGCACGCCTTTTTTTACAGAGCTTAGCTTGCTCACGTCGCTCATAATTTTACGATTATGAGGTCCTGTGAAAATACCTAAAATTCATAAAAAGAGATAAAACCGATGAAAAAGTACTACAGGCATTTTAAGGTTTCTTTATTCACATAATAAACTAAGTTACAGGCTTATATTTAAGTGCGCAAAAGTATGAAAACCCGGGATTTTGATGGTAATTCAAGATTTTGGGGGTGTTTGGCAAATTTCATATTTTCATTATTGCTTTACCCGAAAAGACTTACCAGAAAATAAACAGAACTTCCCACGTATTTCTGCTTTACTCTTTTTTGTAGAACTGTGTTATCTGCGGTCGCAGCCCCCAGTCTTTCCCAATCGTAGCTTTACAGGAGTAGACTGCACTGAGCTCTTCTTCTTCTCCACAACTTTCCGTGCTGCTACCATTTAGTGGTGGTCCATAATTTAAGTACGCTCTGGACATCGGTTATTAGGCCGCCATTGTTGTTCTTACAGGAGTACGCCCAGGTCTTGAAACCTTCCGTAAGTCGCTTAACTCTCTGGTAAAATTTTCGGGCATTCTCCCTGTCGGCCAGCATTTCAAGCTCTTCGCACTCACGTATTTCGGCCTCTCTCTTCTTATTGCGGCAAATACGTCTCGCTTCCCTCTTCAGGTCCTATAGCGGTCCCACATAGCGCGCGTTGCGCCCGATCGCAGCGTGGCCCTGTAGGCGGCATCTTTTTTCTCTGCAGCTTCCTGACACTCCTCATCGTACCAGTTGTTCTTTCGGGCTCGCTGAAATCCGACGCACTGAGCGCCTTTGCATTTTAATGCTGACGTAAATGTCTTATCGGCTACATTCATTTTGTTCAAGAAGCCCATGGTTCTCCTTGGTTGGGCGCCTTTTTTCATTCAATTGAAATTAAGTCTACTACACCAGATGCATTGAAGTTGGAGGGGTTTGAGCACGTGTTTTAATTGTGGCTTAATTTCGTTGAGGGTGGTTGCCGAAGCTTGAAGATATCCTTGACATGGCAGGCAATCGTGAGGGTAATTCAAGGAGTTCAATTCCACTTGATTGAGATATCTTTTGACGTAGGGAGGGGATTCCGATATGCAAATTAGGGTGGTTTGATCTTAAGCATCTTTAGCACAAGGCTAGTGTTATTGTGATAACACGAAGGGATACCCATTGGTGGTGCAGTAGAGCTGCAAAACTATCGATAGTCGCACCATTTGATAGCTTGGATAGTATAGGGAAACTATCGATGGTATCTTTTAGACCTAAAAAAGTGCCGATAGGCAAATAAAACTAAGGTATTTACTAGGTATTTTCCAGTTTTTGAGATTTGTTGTACAGTGTTACCGCTGTGCGACTAAAGTGTCAACTTGACAGTTTTTAGAGATCGATGCCCCCTGACACCGACTTTTTAAAAATAGGCTTATTTTAAAACTTTTCTTAAAAGCCATGCGACTTTTGCCACTTTTCTTTGATTAAAAACTCTATACATATACACATTTTGACAATTTCTTCATAAATATATTTGTTTTTTCCTTGTTTAAAAACGGTTTTAGTATTTACTTTTCAAAGGCACTTAAAAATTACACCTCTGGCCAGATTTTGGCTGAGCTTCTTATTATGTCCAAATTTTCTCGGAAAAGTGCCCAGTACTTCTAATGCACGGTTTTTGTAGCTTAGCATTTCCCCCAAGTTATTTGTGTTAAATTTATTTTCGTGGCTGCCGGTACAAAGAAATAATCTACAATAATTTATATACAAACCTAAAATGCTAAACTTTGTTGTAATAATTGTTATCTACTAATGTTCCTTTTTTGTGACTCAAGTGTTATTTAACTGCAATTTTGTTTTCATAATAAATGCAAAATATGCATATTGCGTCTTTTTAATATATCGACTCTTTTTTGACAGATTTTCCATCGAAAATTATGTCAGAAAGCTATAACTAACTTTAGAGTTGATTTTATTTCGACTATGAATATGTCCCAAAAAGTTTCGAATGGTAAAATAATGAATGTCTATATATACTACATGGTATAAAAGATTTTTTACTTGAAGATACTTTATTTCGGGTGTGACACTTTTTTTGCGACTTTCGAAAAATTTTCAGCGGTAACACTGTTGTTGTATATTTGTTATACATTTTTACATAGATACATATGCGTAGGATTCTTTGAATTAAACTTTCTAGATAAGTAGGAATGTCACAATTCGATAGTATTTACAACTATCGATGGCCATATGTAATTGCAAGCTGTCGGTACTGTCGATAGTGCCATCGATAGTTTTGCAACTCTATAGTGCAGATAACTGCATTGTGGTAGGTCAGAATGCTAATACTCTGAGAGTAATTGGTGCCCGTGGCTTTCATTTAGGCATTACGAGTATATCTTGCTATGGGTCGGCCGAAGATTTCGGATATGACAAGCAAGGTATCCTTATCTTTCTTCAAAGTTGCAAAACTTGAACCAATTATAAACTGAGAAAATAACGTACTTACTTTATATCAATTCAATAATATGTATAGTACAAACAAAATTTTCAGTCCAAGAGGACTTTACGTTTACTTTATTAATTTTCATTTTTTTTAGTACTACTTTATGAATTCGCAAATGTGAATGGCTACGATTGTTTTATGGTAAAGGTTTTCTTGTCTTATAATGAATTGAGCGGTATTTTAAACTAATTTGCACTTGTGTAAAAATATATGTATCGTAAGTGATGAAAAATTATCGAAAAACGATATTTGGCACCATTGATATTCTATCCGCCATCTCCGCTCATTGTTCTACTCCTGTATATTCGACGTCTTCTGCCTTAGAATAGTGTATGCAAGCCAGCACTGTGTCCAGCAAGTAGAGAGCGCCTTCAATTACACATAGCGCACCCATGGCGATGCCGGTTTGGCGTTCAGCATTCACATAGAGGAAGTCCTGATCAGACATGTAACCGCCCCAATAGTGGAGGGCCACACCACCAATGGCTATCCACATGGCTGTGCCGACCATATTCATTAGAGTGTCTGTCAGCTCGCTGGGAAAAAAATTAAATTAAATAATAATTATTAGTTTTGAGCAACGCCATTTTTGTATTTTCGAAGTTAATCTCTTACGAACCGTTTATGTTTGGTGGTGCCAAAGAAGAAAGCCACAGAATGCACTGTGGTGTAGATCAGAAAGCCAACGAAAATGCCGGAAGCTACGATTTCTGGCGACGCGCTCTTCTCCTCATTTAAATTCCATGTGCCGCTGACGCCCAAGAAAATTCCTTCATCGCCAATACAGTAAAGAATGAGCACAATAATATTGACTGTCTGCGAGAGAGAAAAAAATGAAAAAAATAAAAAAATATTTCAGTGGAACCCATTTCAGCGTAGTCAGTTTAGTTTAAGACTATGCCTTCCCGCTCTTATTTAAATTGTCGAAGTGGGGGCTAGTATTGGCATGCATTTCCATTTGCTATTTGAATATTGATAAGCGCGTTTATCTTATGAAATCTATCCATTTGTGTATGCCTAGTTATCGTCCACATATGTACGTACATATGTAAATATCTTACTCAGTACATCGTTAAATTTGAAGAACATTTTTATTCCCCACACAGTTTATGACCGAAAAATATAAATTTACAATTGACAATGGCATGACCTAATCAATATTTTCTTATGACTAATGACAAAAGAGCGTAATTATTTTTGGAACCGCTAGTTTTTTCCTATAAAAGGTAAAAGCTTATATAAAAAAAATTTAAAGACTTCATTTTGAAAAGTTCTTCCAAACAAATGCAAAATTATTTCCCCTAAAAAAATATTTATTCACTCCACTTATTGACCGTAAAACACTTATTGCTCATTATTGAATTTGATTTTAGTAAAATCGTTTGAGTCATCCACCTTGTGCTTACCAATTTTAATGCTTTGATGAATATCGATCCAATTGTTTCCACAGACACCATCTTGAAGTGATTCCCTTAGAACTTTTGTCGCCAAAGAATAGAAACCAAAACAAAAGTTATGTTTGAGGTTTAAGTGTAATTATAAAATCTTCTTGATATTTTGTATTTTATTTGGTTTGAACCAAAAGCGCATGTGGCCGATCGTTTGGCTTCGTTTTATCGTCGTTCGTTAACTGATGTTGGAATTGAACGCACGCACAACAGCGAGGCGAAAACTTGAACACAAATACGCTGCCATTTATCTTGCAGCTTTTGCAATCGCTCTGATAAGATAACAATATCGTTTCGTTTGTTTGTGTGCAATAAGCCGAGGAAAAGCTTTTTTCGTTTTTACTTCACAGGTGTATGAAGCAGTAAACGGAATGAAGATGATTTCATGTGGCCGGTCGCGCTTTTGCCTCGAGCCTTATCAGTGCTCTATTTTTTATTTTATTTTTTGCTTTAAGTTGCTGGAGAAAATTGTTAAAAACAGTAAATACACAATGTGTAACTGCATACCAGTCTACCTTATCTTTGGCCATAGCCTGTATGGTTTAATATGATATTTATTTATTTTTTACGAAATACTTTTTATGCCTTTAATGACGCCATTTTTTCATTCGTGGAATTTGTAATGCGTTGGCCAATTTCCTCAGGCCTTGAATTTACTTCTGTAATCTGTTGCTTTATATATCGCTAAATTCTCTATTTCATGCTGGCTACTCTATTTCATGAAATAAATTAATTTTCTTTATGGAATAAGCATTCAACAAATCATTTCAATAAAGTTTTTCATATGACAATTGAGAATTGAGTAAAACTGTTAAATAGACGAAAGAAGTAATCAGCCAATAGTACAAGTTGCTTATGCGTATAAGGGAATTTTTAGTAATTTTATTTAGTTTTTATTATTTCTTTTGTTTTTTTTTGTTTTCAATTATTTTTCAAGTAATATACTGCCAAATAGTTCTTAAATAGTTTATTTACTTTCATATCTACTCTGCTATTCACTCCAACGTATAATGCCTTATAACCGCATACTCCATGGGACCCCTGTAATAAAGCACGCAACCCAAAATAGTATCCACCAAATACAAGGCACTTTGAACTATACATAAAGCACCCATTGCTATGCCGACGCTGCGTTCGGAGCTCACATAAGAGAAATCGCCATCAGACATGTAACCCAGCCAGTAATGCATCGCCACTCCACCAACTGCAAGCCACATTGCAGTACCGATTGCATTCATAAGAATGTCCGTTAAGTCACTATTGAAGAAGTGAGGCAAATTGTGTTTTTTTTTTTTTTGAAATTATTGAAACATACATACCGCTTATTTCTGCTGCCTCCAAAACAATATCCAATAATTACTACGGCTGTATATATAATGAAGCCGACAAATAAGCCAGAAGCAAGCATTTCAAGCGCAGGATTGTGTTTCTCATGCAAACTCCAGCTGCCGCCAATGCCCAAAAAATCACCTCCATTGCCAGTGCGATATAAGACCAGTACGCCCAAGTTGTTGAACTGAAATTTTATTAATTTCGTTTGATATATGTATGGACAGTCATCGTATTCAAAGTGAGATAATGACATTCTACTGAATTAAAGTCCTTTCTTAAAGGGGAAAGACACGACATCAGCTTGCTGGCACCATCGAGTGATTGTACCATCAAGTTCGAAACATATAACATACCAGCATGCTGGTCATAATAATTATCATTGAGATAAATATTTTGAAGTCTTCAAAGACTTTTATTTTGAGACTCTTATTATAAAAGTCTTTTCATAATAATTATGAGTGCGAAAATATTGTTTAAGTCTTAAGCGATGGGGCTTGTTCAAGATCATTTTGGGGTTAGTTCAGGGCTAGGTGGGGGCCACTTCGGGACTAGTTAGCGGTTAGTTCGGAAACAGTTTAGAACTAGTTGGGGGTAGTATAGGCCCGACCTAGTCCCAAATTAAGCTCCAACATTACCACAAACACTTCCAGAGATATACGGTACGAAAGATTCGATATGTATGGGTGATGCCACGCTCCCTTAATATATCGAAAGTCTGCAGTAGGTGTCCAAAATTTCAAAAAAATCGGTACAGCCGTTCGCGAGATCACCTCTTATAAAAAGAAGGAGCTTCTCTTTATATAATTAGTGTAGGTAACACAGGGCAACATCGGTTTTTTTTGCTGGTTACGAATCCGTAAGTATAAAGTTTGCATCAGCTCCAGATTAAAAAAAAAACGTGGTGAAAGTATCAAAATATTGCATTTTTGCAATATTTGATAAGCTCTAGCAAGGAAACAAAAGGTGATAGAACCTTCCTCATTCTTCTTTATTGGCACTGTAACCGTCTAAACGATTTTGGCTGAGTTCAACAAAACACGCCAGACGAAACGTCTTCTGTACGAACTGATGCCAATTGGAAATGCCAAGTGAAGCCAAGAACCTTCCACTTAGGCTTAAATTAAAGCTAGAACTACAGACTACTATCCCTGAAAATACTATTCATCAAAAACTCAATGTTTGGAGGTATTTTCAAATCGCCCACGTAAATCTTAATATTTTTCCGAAATATTTTGGTGGAAGTCTTCAAATACAAAAAATTTTGTAATCCCGGCGGAAAAACTGCAACTATTTTTTGGTGATGCAGTCTATTGTACAGAGGCGGATTTACCGTAAATGCAACATAGGCAGGTGCCTAGGGCGGCAATATTTAGGGGCGGCAAAATTTGAGTTAAAAAAAAAATATTTTTTTTTCAAGCTAGCTGCACTGAAAGTAGAATTTGTGTTTGTACATTTCAAAACACAAATTTGAGATTCAATTACGCAATCAGAAAATAGGACAAGACTGTTTGGCATTTTTGATATTACTTAAATCATAATATTTAAAAATACTAATTTAGTATTTTTGAGATTATAACTTATCAAATGAAAAAAGTTTGTTGATGATGGCTTTCTTTAAAAGTTGGAAACCTTGACACAAGGCAAATACCACTTTTTCATCTTAAATTGTAATAAAAGTATAGTGTAATAACATAAATTTGAATATTACTATTTACTGCTAATCGTTCCAAAACTAGTACTTTTACCTCAAAATATTTTTCTTATCGGAAAAAGGGCGGCAAATTCTGAAATGCCTAGGGGTGACAAATATTCAAATCCGCCACTGCTAATGTATATAAAAAATTATCATTGACAACAAAAGTCTATTATTTCATTTGCTTAAATAGATTTTAATAGCTAGCATTTAGGACTGAATAGAAGCATTAAAATGTCATCGAAAGATTAAAATATTTAACTCTATGCCTGAAACTTTTTAAAATTAAAAATTAACCTCCCTAAAAGGGCCCATATATGATACCAGCATGCTGGCGCCATCAAATGTCAAATAATAATTATCGATGACTTAAAAAAATTTTCTCACACATAATTATTATCAAAAGAGTATTATAGTTCTTACGAAAATTTGGATAACTTTTTTTTAACTCCACCATGAAATAATTATTATTCTGGGTCTCTGATATAAGCAGCCTTATCCTAAGTTTTGCCCGAAAAAAAATTCACCCGAAAATTTTGCATCCGCCCATATTAAATACATCGAAACGAGCAATGTAAAGTGAACCGGTTCGGGGAAAATAAAACTCATGATAAGGCTGGAAAATCAGTACCGACTTTTTTTGTATGGGGGAGTGATGCAGTCTAATGTACATATTAAGCGAACCCTGTTTTTAATCTATTAAGTATTTAATATTTATAAAGCTATTTGCAAACTTGCTTACCAATTTCAGAATCTTAAGACATATCGAGGCGATTATTTCGTACGAAACCATTTTTGGGTTATCCATTTCCTCAAGTTCTTTATGTGATTCACCGTTAAAGTTTTTATATGTATTTATTTTTCCATCTTTGTTTTACAAAATCGCAAAAGTTTTTATCTCTATTGCTCGGTTTTCAACCAATCGTATACTAAGCGTGAATATCAGCGCAGTGTTGCTGGAAAATGTACATATGTAGCTATACGAATGGCAGCAAAAAAACGCTTCGTTCGCAGTAGTCGCTTGCTGTGATAAGATAAGGCGAAATGCAGGTGATTGCCGCAGAAATAACTAATATCGTCAAATAAAAGTTGCTTCAATAATGTATGTACATATTAATGTGGTATGTAGGTTTGTAAGTATGTACTCAATTCAAGTGTACAAGCGTTTAACTGTTGATCGCTGCGGAAATGTTTCGCTTCATATACATCTTTAAACGTAACTAAAAAAGATATGAAAATCGGAACGGAACATTTCAATCAAAATCTAAATCGATGAATGAAAAATAAAATTTTTAATTTACGCCTTCACGTGATAATTATTGCTAACACTCAATAATCATTTTATTACAAATTTGAGCATAAGTGTTCATGTACGATAAAATTTATCTCAACTTGCCAACAAAGTTCAATAAGAAGTATTCACCGCAAATTAATCGAATAGTTTTGTCACACGCCGATAAATTGAAAAGCTCTACAATATTTACACTTTATTGATAAAAACAAAAGCAACAACAACAGCTTCACTGAATGCGAGTCACTGTGATAGTTCAAATGAGCGTCGTCTGAGCAACTGAACTGAATCGCAATAAATGTATAGCGAGGCTAACGACAACCGACAGCCGCCATCTACTTATACACAAATGCACCCTGTAGGAAATTCCACTAGCTCGTAGCTAAGTAGGTGTATTCTCTTTTGCGCGATATTTTTTATAACGTTATCGAACTTAAAACTCGAAAATGTTAATCCAATAACTTCCAAAACAATTTCGTCGATGTTTTTGCAAAACCGCCTATCGACCAGTTGCAAAATCGCCTACATTGCCGTTGGGACAAAAATGAGATTTGGTAACCCTGAACTCCAGGCATCGAGATTTATGCATACAAATCCTAAAATTGTTATTAAAACAACAGATTTGTAAAACAATACAATAGCTAGAGAAAATACCGCATACCAAGGCAATGCCTTTAAAGAAATACCGTTTTTTCGCTCTCCTGTAAAATTTGAGTGCCGTAAGATAGGCGGTTTTGCAATTGGTCGATGGGCGGTTTCGCAAAAACATCGACTATTCACTTTTGCAATAGAAAGCTACAATAAGTTATATACGAATGATTGGGAGAATGATTCGGTTTTGGGCCTTCAAGATAACTAGGCAGCCATTTACACGGATCGCTGTAACCCAAATCGAAGTGTAGGAAACGGTATACATACACTCGAAGGAGCTCTTATAAAATCTCCATTTTAGGTTGCTAGACCAATGTAGCAGTTTCCAAGCAGAGATCTCCCTGTCTGACGTCAACTCCTCTCACATTGCTGACATATCGCCATCGACCTGTAGATTATGGCTTAATGCATACATCTTCGAGAAGGTAGTAAGGTTAGCGTGCTGGCTGCGTAGATGGAGGCTCACTTAGACTAGACTGAAGTGTTCATTGTGATGCCTTTAAGAGGGGTGAGGGAAAAGTACACAGGGAGTACGCTAAGGGAGAATGACGACAGCCAATGGCTTTTAGCAAGTGAAACGCTCCGTGCTTGCAACGAAGCTCTTCAGTCGACTGATGTCACTCCCGAAAACTCATCCGGAGTGTTATTTATATTTGCCGATATTTAGAAATGATTGGACTAAATTTGAAGTTTTAATAGTTTTCAAGTACAATACTTGTACCCAGTAAAGTTAGCCATTCGTTTGACGTACATATTTCCGGATTAATATTTAATTTAAATAATGTAGGTACTTTCAGCTTGTGAGATTTCGCCGTACTTGAATAGCTCAGCTGGCAGGCTGTCAGCTCCAGCAGCTTGATTACTTCTACCTAGTTATTATTTTGCAAGTTTATTTTCCTGCTGATCATTGAGGGTAATAATATCCAATATACTGTACATATGTGCATTTGTGCGAGATATGTAAATACTTAATTGATTACGAAAAATTCAAGCGTATTCTGGTGAATTCAGTGATTTATCGACGTTCCCATAAAAACTTTAATATTTTTGGATATACATTGACTTAAACAAATGACCACGTGTTGATTTTCTTCAAATATTCGTAATGTTTTTCGAACTAATTTTATTTTGTTATTTTTATTTAAAAAATACCGTCTAAGGTTTAACAGAAACCATGTAAATTACAGTTTCAAACTTTATACAAAATTTAGGAAAATACAAACAATTTTCATCGAAATTTCAACTTTATATTCTGAATTTTTAGAAAATTTTTAGTCATGCAGTTTTATAGCCCATACAACTTTAATCTAATGAAGTGCAAGTTTCAAACGGCTAAAAAATCGCGACGATAAAACTGTAGGTTCCTCCCATTTGTGTGTCAACATTAAGGCGCACGCGACAAATCGGAGGAGAAGCTTGGCCAAACAATAACCTATGTATAATGTAAGCGCCAATCTTTTATTATTATTTGAAGATAGTTGATACCAAATTATTTAATAAGTTAAATGAATTATTGCAATATATGTATCAATCGAAATAAATTTTGAAAATGTCAACTTAAATTAAGGGAATTTATGTATTAAAATATTTGCCACAATATGGGTGTCAGATGAAAAAAGTTTAGTAGTTGAAAATACTTTGAAGGGGGCTAAGAAAAAGAAATATGTGCAAATTTCTTATTTTTTGCTTGAAATTTAATTGGAATTAACTACACCGAAGCTAACACGCAGAAAGACAAACTAGTATATTTATATTTACCCTAAAAGTGTTTATAAAAATGCTTTACTTTCAGTGTTTTTATTTATTAAAACCATATTTTAGACATTCTGAAAATATAAAAGTAAGAGTGTGTGTATGTAAGTATATACATACATACATATATGATAAGAACTACAAAAAGTTTTCTGTATAACGGAAAAACAGGTTTCTCTCTTAATTTTCTGACATTCGGCAGCCTTATAGTCAAATTTTATACGGAAATTTTCAAATAAGGCAGTGTCGAAATCTTTCTTCGCTCTCTAATTATTTCACGTGGTATAATTCCACCATGGGAAAAAGTGTAATGCTTCCTCTTCTAGCTGATTTTTTAGAATTATTTTTATTAACTATTACGTTTGATGGATCTTACTTGGACGATTTAGATGCAAAATGCCTATATTAACAATATAAAAAAAAATATTTTTCATACAATCTATGTACTATGTATAATAATTCAGCATTTATATGCAAATAATTGCATGAATATGTATGTATCTCTATTTTTACTTAACTAAATATTCTGCCAACTTGAAATTAACTATCTTAGGCAGCGTTCTCTTTATGTGTATATGTATAAATGCTAGTAGACGGTAGAGAGAAATCTGCATGTCTTCAGGTATTCTATGCAATTATGACACTTTTGTTGTTGCGCATAAGTTCTGGGTATGTAATTTGTCATTTGAATGTAGGTATTTGAATGTGTGTATATGCATGTGCGTGGAGGTTATGGCAATTTTCTATAGCTTTAACGCGCTACACCCGTGTAATCAGTATCACCCTTTGAGTAGTGCAGACAACTCATCACCGTGTCTACCAAATACAAAGCGCCTTCGACGATACACAATGAGCCCATTATAATGCCAACTAACTTATCACTACTCGCAGTAATAGGCACATGTTGTACGCTCAAATATGAGTAGTCCATAGTGTCCATGTAGCCGACCCAGTAGTGAAGGGCAATACCGCCGACTAGAGTCCACAAAAAGGTGCCGACCACGTTCATGATTGTGTCGGTGAGTTCGCTGGAAATTAGAGTAAAGTGTGTGGGTGTGCATATTTGTGTAACAAAATGAGTAATTAATTGCAATGCTTACTGTCTGTATTTGTTGGGACCAAAGAAGTAGGCAATCGTATGTACGCCTGTATAGACAATAAAGCCAACGAAGACACCGGAAGCGAATATTTCACAACCGGCACTTTTCTCCTCCCACAGATTCCATGTGCCACCAACGCCAAGAAAATTACCACCGGAGCCGATGCGATAAATTATAATGATGCCCAAATTGAGGAGCTGTGAATGAGAGAAGAAATGTAAACATTTAACTCACTGGATATGAATTTTAAAAGGGTTTTATAAATAAGCTTCCAAGAAGTTACATTTTCCTCTTCTTTATCTTCTTGTTTGTTTTGGCTGAGTTCAACAAAGCACACCAGTCGTTGAATTTTCCTACATGTTCCATCGATACTATCGATATTCTTTAAAATTGTAAGAACAAAAAATGCAGAGTTATGAAAGCCAATTTATAAAGCTGCGCCCCTTAAACAAATATGCATAGTTAAAATCCACTGTATTAAAATTAGTCATTGGTTTCGAAATTTGATGGTTATGACTAATATCGCTGGCATATCGGAATTCCAATGAAGTAAAGATAAGTAAAACGTTGATTTCAAATACAAAATTCTTTCTGCTATTGCTTGCGCGCTAAGTTATGTATTTGTTACTAAACCAGAGGCAAAAAAAAACATTACTTTACTTAACAAATTCTTTTCAAAGACATGACGAAAACTAATTTATGTAAGTACATATATGCATAACCAAAATTTGAGGCTTTTCTTCTTTTTAACGTGCGCTCACTAGAGTGGTTTACAAAATTTTTTTCCGAGATATGGCTTTGCGAAGCTTCCAAAATTTTTCTTTCTGCCGAAAGAGGTGCTGGTACCAAAGTTTACATTTCTAAGTACATATATATTTAGAGAATACTCTTGACGGTCATATTTTACTCTAGAAGTATTGTGCACATATATTAATCAAACAATTCGTTAAGCAACCTAAGAGCATTTCAAATTTAAATTTTCTAAAAAATATCCAAGCTTTAGTTGTCATAGACCCAGTAGCATTTTATAAAAGTCACCAATATGTTTGCCAGTTTCATAGCGATCCAGTAGCGTGTTTCAAAGTCATTGAGCACCCTGTATTAGCTACAGTAGAAAAATGAAGGAAAACAAAACTAGAGGGTGCCCGTTTTCTAGGATGCAATTTTCTTCTCCTGTACCAAAATTGGACCACTCTAATACTCCCATATATACATAATATTTTCTCTACGAGGGCGACCTACCAATTTCAGCGATTTTATGACAATCGATGCTATCCAAATCAAAGACCATTCCATTTTTTCACTGCGCCAATATCAGTTTTCCAAACAAGTAATGGAATTTAATTGCTGTCGTTTTCTCAAAAAAAAAGAAGCGTTTAATCACTATTGAAAATTGGTCTACTGTCTTGCGATCAATTCGAAAAATGCGTTTTGTTCGTTTAGGCTCGGTGCTTAGTCGTTCGTTAACTGAAATGAAAACGATTGAAGAAATCGTCGAAACAAGCAACAGGAAAAGTCTGAGCTTTTGCAATCGTGCTGATAAGATAAAACGGTATCATATGTGCATGTGTATGTATGTATATATATATGTATTTTGGTGTAACAGGTGCCCGACGTACAATGGGTTTGAGTGTATTTACTCGTATTTATTTATGAAGATATTTAACTACACATTTATGCTCATTAACGCGAGTGTTCGTAATATGCATATTTATCTGCAAACACTTTTACATTTATGCCTACTTCCATATCTACATATGTACCTGCATATCGGTTTATGGTGCTT